ACTTGCTTTCCAACAAAATCATTCAGTCCTATCACATCGACTTCGTGCAATGGTTGATCACTCTGTCATTTCGTAAATTCATTCGCACATCTTCAAAAGCAGAATGATTTGCAATTTCACAAATTGGTTTTCAAAGGTTCTAATCTTTTGCCCATAGATTAATAACTTGATCAAGAGGTTTAATAAATATATCGTCGACCAAAACTGAATTGCATGTCAGAGTTCTACAAACTTCATGACGTTTCGCGCTAGTATACTTGAATCAAATCATAACAATGCGTAGCTATCGTGGACCTGAGTACTACACCACTGCCCGTTCAAAGCTGCCAAACCAGCAATCAATGTGGTTCCGAAGTTTAAATTTCTTCGTCCGTCGAAGTACATAAGGAATCTATTTCATTCAAAGTATAATTTGCAATCAATGTGGCTATAAAACATGTATTGACAAAGGTTACTCTCCGTTTTGCATACTCTACAGTCGACAGGCTGCGTGGACGGACACAAGACAATGCAACGACGTGAAGCGATTTCTGGTGTCAACTTGGTCAGCGACGCGCTCGCTCTACCCCAGCTGAGTCGACTGGTATGGTGCTGTGAATCACACGTCGAGCTGTTGTCAAGATGACTCTATTGTGAGAGGCCACTGCTTTCCAACCTTTTCGGTCATGACACGCTTCATGACACGCTGCCAAGATACGTGTTTTCTCAGCGTCTGTTGTCATCTCTTGATTGGGTATGAGTTTGGCGCGCACGCCAACAGGAAAACCTTTGTCAATATATGTTTTTATATCAAATTGTCCACATATGTTTTTATGAATTCATATGTAAGGTAATACATCGAATTCTCGGACACTTTTTGGAGACAAGGTGGCATAGATTTTGAAGGAGCATTTTTCAGGAAATATTGAGCGTCCAAAAAATCTGATGATACATTCAGAAACTATAATTCCTGAACTTTTTTTTCATGCCTCGAACGTTATGAAAGGAAGACATTCGTGATTTGCAGGAAAAATAATACAACAGACTAAAGTTTCAAGTAAGAATTCCAAGGAAACCAAATTCTCGGAATGTCAATTTACTTCTATTTTGTATGTACTTAAAAAGTTTCGAAAAATAATACCAAGATATATAACGAACCATACTAATATTCACAAACACACAAAAGTCATTAAATTTCATGCATTTTTATTGCAGACGAACAAAAAATTTACTTGTTTTGTTTCGATAGCTTTGCAACAGAGGCAGCATAATGTGCATCGCGCGTATGCCACACAAGCTCCGTTTGGACTCGCTTTCGTCCTTTCTTCTTCGGAGGTTACGTAACAACTCGTCACGGGCATGCAATCTCGTCTTTAACCACGGTGCAATCACGAGGTCATCTCTCACAGAGTTAATCTGTGCCAACGCCAGGCGACGAAACATCCTGGGCAACAACAGCGGCCAGATTCCACAGGTCAGAAAACTGTTCACCACCGACTTGTTCTTGCCTTTCACACCCTCGACAGAGGGAAAGACAAAGTTGAAGGATTCGCCAGCGATCTGTATGACAGCATGACGAGGCAAGGTTGTGACATTGAGCGATTGAAGTCGATGGGTCACAGCGCGGGCAATGGTTCTCTTGAACGGGCGAAACAAGGCGACATCAAGAGGCTGTAGCAATTGAGTCGCATTGGGGGGGAAGATGAACAAGGTAAATACCATATGCCATGCAGATTGGGATACTGCTCTCTGACACATATGATGAGCAGTTGTCCAGGACCAACACAGCAGGTCTTGCATCTCGAGTACGCAATTTCCACTCTCCGAAGCATTCGAGCCAACTGTCGAATAAGTCCGACTTCATGAAACCCTTGGGGGCAGCAGAAACCATAGCTTCAGGTACGGGACACGCGTGCAAAACATCGCTGGAGCAACTTTTGCCTGGCAGGATGAACGCAGGTGGAACAGGTGTCCCATCGGCAGCGACAGCAGCAACAATCGTGAGGTGGTACGCGTCACTTTGATCGCCTCGCCATACGTTCTTGGATCCTCGAATAGCAATAACCTTGCGTGAGCTGCCTTTTGTCTTGAAACTTGTCTCATCAACATTGTAGACATCGCCGGCAGTGCAGTTGAACCCAAGGCATCCTTTGACCAGCTCAAAAAAGTACCGCTTGATTCCGTCCTTTGTGTCGGCATTCCGTGCGTGGCTTAGCTTCTGGGCAACTCGACTCGTCAACACCTCATGGCAGCCCTCAAAGCTAGCGTACCAACCTAGTCCAAGTGAGCAGGGGGTGTCAGCATGTACAGATACGATTTGGCTTGCCTTCATGATGATTTCATAGCGTTCTAGGGGCCAACCACTGCGCTGCATTGCAAAGATCCACTGCACCAGGTCATCTTCCACTTCGGCAGGCATGAATGGCCTTGACCCACGTTATTTAATTGCAATGGAACCAGTCCGCTTCTTCATCGTGATGTATTTGCATAACGTGGAACTCTTTAATGGGGACTCCTCGTTACAGCAGCCACCGACTCTCCATTTTCAACCCGCTGGGGAGCCGCCATAAAGTCGTCGAGGGTCGGAGGCATTGTTGAAATGTTTTTTTGGCGATAACTCTGTCAATATTTGTCGCTAAAAATGGCGGGAATCGATGGGTCCAATCAAGGCCGTCATTTTGAGCTAAAATTGAGGGAAAAAAATGGAGCAGAATGCACAAAGTTAGAGCCAATATACTGAGTAGTTGTGGGCAAGTGTGTTTTTATTGTCAGTTGTCATTTTATTTTGATTGAAATTGGTTCTGTCTCCTTGAAGGGGTGAAAAATATCATGACCAATAGATTTGTTTCAGCCTGAATTTGTGGTGTTTCATTGGCTAAAATGGAAGTGTCCGAGAATTCAATGTCTTCCGAGAATTCGATGCATTACCTTACAGGTTGGCCACATTGATTGCAGATTAAACCACATTGAAATCGATTCCAGATGTACTTTCAACGGTCGAAGAAATTAAAACTACGGAACCACATTGGTGCAGTACTAAGGGCCTGGTCGCTGAAGTTTTGTCCCTGCTTTTTGCCATCACTGCTTTTTACGGATGTTCATTATTCGGATTATGCTTGGTTTTGTGGTCGGTGAAGCCATTCCTGCTTTTCGTGGTTGGAGATACAATGGACACATTTGGTCAGGTTGTCGTT